AAAATGCGATGAACTGAAGAAAAGAGGAGATCAGAACGGGTAGGAGTCCATGTCTGGGTACTGTCCCACATGAAAATTCTTAGAGCCAAACCTGTGCAGAAAACATACCAGAAAAAGCTGTGTTGGCACAATGCCAGCAAGTTTCATCACAGGAATACTCAATGGAAGAACATGAATCAAAGAAAGTGTAGGACGGCTGAACGGCTTTCCTAGAATGGCTTCCAGTTCGGAGAACCATCCCAAAAGACTGGAGCGCCGGCTGTGGTGTGCCAATGTCGAGACCAATTCTGTCAATACACCACACACACTCTCCCATGTTCACATCACACAATCGCTTTCGCCGTTCGATGTTTTGGCCGGTCGTTTTCCAGATGGCCTTCAACCCACAATTAAGCCATAAAAATCCCAGTCATCTGCCGAGGGAATACTCAAAACTATGTCTTTATCCGTTTGAAACTACATTGTCACATTTTTTTTTCAAATTTTTACTATTAGGTTTCTCATAGATCATAGATAACCATGTCACCGCCCAGGCGTCATACCGACGTCACGGACGTTTTGGTTGAACCCTAGCAGATGGTCTTCGACCCTGTTATTGAGCCATAAAACCTCAGTTGCTCGTTGATTCAAATCCCACCAGTACGGCTTTCCCAAGAGGAAAATGAAGGGGTAGCTCTTTTCTTAGTAAGTTTTTTGATCATGTCACTGACTTGTAGAGATAGAGAAGCTCAGGGAGAACGGGCTGTTTGGTACGATTACGGTCTCGAGTTTCAGAATTCGAGCTCCTCCTATTTCCAAGGAACTTGTTGCAGCAGTACCGAGTATCTTCAGTCATTTCACTTTGCTGTTCACCTAGTTCTGACACAAACCCGTAGCAACTAGCACATTCTATGCAAGGGCGCTTTTCTGTGAGAGCCCGTGGCCGTCTACAAGCCAAACTGGACTTAATTGAAAATGTATTCCGAAGATAATTTTGTAGTATTTATTTCTAATTAAATAAGAAAATGATGTTGCAGAATAGTGCATCAGTGATGAAGAAATCGTGAAAAATCGTAAAATTTGAGAAATATGAGGCTTCTTGAATGTAGCGAAAAATCAAGGTTATACAAGATAATGAAGACGGAATAGGCGTGGGAGTTGTGTTTGGACGAGTTTCTGTTGTGTGCATTTTTGTTACGTTATGGCTAGGGCAAAAAACCGCTGAGAATCGTCTTTCACTGCAATTACGTGTCGGCTGCATGCAATGAAAATTTTGTGCTGATGCAATATCCATATTGTTATTCTCTGCCCTTGTTCACATATTAATATTCTAGTGTTGCTATTGTTGTATTACATATTGCGACGCTCTCTTATCGATTGTTTGAGTTTACAACATATGCGCTCCATTGTGAATGGTGGATCCACTACAAGGCCCATGAAACACGTCCAATCCTGAATGTGGTATACCATGGAAACAGTTTGTAAGACCTTATCTACGCCGTTTTTTGACCCCACAAGGGCCCACTTGCTACCCATGAGGGCCACTAATTCATCTTAGAGGAAACCTTCGGAAAAATCCTAGTTGTGGACTGTGCCTCCAAAGGGGAATCGGATATTTGCAGTGTTCAACAAGTCAACCGGCTAGAAATCACCCGGGACTCTTACTACATTCTCAGTATGAGCGGCACAAACGCCACAGAAATGCACAGCGCCCATCCTTCCAAGATCAGTACGCAGGGTCACTCAACTGTTTAATAGCTCTCGAAGCCTTTCCTTACCTTGGCTCGTTCAAGCTATTACCCAGCCATCGTTCCAGAGCAGACCAAGCTAAGCAGGGGATTTCGGTCGCCAAGGAGAAATCAAGTTCAATTTTTTTCACTTTCGAAGACGATGGCTGGTTTTTCTCCGAAATGACAGCCCTCAAAAAAAGCTCTGCATTCGCTGGGTGCATCTACAACTCCCAGAGGAGCGTAACGCGCAGATTTGGTTAACGGCCTCGGGATATGGGACACCAGATGACAGCTAGCTTCAGTAGAATGAAGCAGTGGCGAGTAACGGGAATGGTCCAGGGATTTGGTCGAGCTGAAGTCTACACAGCTTTAAATCTCAAAGGAACTACTGATTCATTGGGTTGCAGTTGCCGAGGATAAGTACTTTGGTAGGTCCCCACAAGTCCTTACATAAACCAGGTACCCCCTTGAAAAGCCACCATGATTTTGAATGGTGGAGGAATGTTCAATGCACTTCGGGAAGAAGGACCTGCACTGACCTTTCCTTGTCCTTTTTCAAAGAGATAGTGCTCGACCAAGTCGTCAAACCTGACCCAATCGCGATTATTCCACGATAACCCTGTACTTTTCAGGAGAAACGACGACCGAGAAGAATAGTACAAGAACTGGATACGGTAGAGTTGAAGATTCGGTAGAAAACATTTCTGTCAACTACGATTTACAGTGACGGTCGGCAGGGTCGATAGGTTCGACCACAGGAGAACTCGTCCACTTCTACCAACCCCTCGTGAATGCTCAACACCTACGGTACGACGAAATCATTGGTCTTTGGATCGCACTTTTTTTTGGCCGTGTGCCAATACCGATTTCCCACAGTGCAAATATACGAACTATTGATTTTCTTTTGCTAACAATAGCGAAAAAGTACATACTCTTCAACGTAACCAGGTACAAAAACGAAAACAAAAGGGCACAGAATTCCCACATAACTATCACGTAACCTTAGAAAAAGAAAAAAGAAAAATCTTGAAAATTCCGACGAAATATTGAAAAAGAAATTCGGTGAGAATATGGTTAGGGGGATGGGGTACTGCTCCTGTCCAAAATTGAGATCTAGAAGGGGGTAGCTAACTTTTCTTATGCTTTTCGGTTTCTTGAGACGGTTCTTGGCCAAAAGAGACTGTCCTTGGCCAAAAGAGCTCAAGCGAGGAGGAACACCGGGGTGGGGAGACGATTGACTTGTGCAAAAAGCTGGGGTGGGAAAGGATCGAACATCCAGTCGACTCACCTCCCTCGGTGATCCTCCCCTCCAAGGGTTAAAATTTAAAAACTCCGTTTTTTGCCAAGAAAGTTCCCAAGTACCATTATGGGCTCGCACAAACCCGGCTGCCCTCCCTCACCTTCGCGATGGTCCCAACCACATTTTCACCAGAAACTTCACGAGCCAGATGATTAGTAGCAGGAATATACTCTGAATTTCAAAAACAGAATCCCAAATCGATGAGGAGCAAGTTTCGGATGACTAGGTAACGTCGAAAAAGAGAAACTGAAAATACGCGGTCCCAAAATGGCCGATCAATGACTTCGAGTCCAACTTTTGATATTGGAGCAAGGAATCGGCAATAGTCCACGTTTGTTCCTCATCATTTCACCTTTGTTCCGCTTCCCCCTTCAGTTCGCCTCGCTGTCGCCTTTCTGTCTACAAACGCTTTCCAATGGAATGTTTATCTTCTTGTTACTATCTCGGTTAGAGCTCGCTGATGAGCTGTTATCTGCTGCTGTGTGGAGTAGCGGGCTGACGGGTAGGACACGACTCGCCAAATCTGAAAAAAGAGGGGGAGTCTCGACTAGACCAGCTGACACCTGGTTACGGTGAGGCGACCGCGACGGCACCTCTTGACCCATACACTTGAGTAGCTACATACATTCCTTTTCGAAACCGTTCCATTTGTCGCGCTACATGTGCCCACTTAGTCAAGTACTGAAGGCTTCGAAATGTCGTGTAACCTTACTGGAGTTCGGACCTTAGTGTGCTTTACTGGGAATCCCTATATATACTTTCCGCTCGTTCTCATTCCTGTTCATTTCTCATATCAACGTTTTTCGACTTCCTCATCAACCGTGTTGCAACTATTACTTTTTTGACTTACTACATCTTTTTTCATTCAACTATTCAATCCTTACTTTTCTGTGGATTACCTAGGAGGCCGTGACCTATCTGAGACCTTAATTTGAATTGTAAAACCTGATGACTTGGCGCTACGAATTCCTTCGTCATTATATCTATTTTTACTTGGGAGGTACTAGTACAATAGGAGTAATGAGGCTTTAACGCTTGATATGATGCTGTCATTAGAAGAATGCCGCATGTTCACACAATCGTCATATTAATGTGGAATACGTTATAATATCCGCAATCGCGTCCCATACTCCTGAGAAGGCGAAAAATCTCCAGACGCCGGTAGTGTAAACGCGCGGCAATACACCAATACAAAAACCCTCTTCGGCTGCTTTCAATAAGATATTTCTGCTGAAAGATGATTACTTTCATTGTAACATATTGGCAAAACATTCATAACTATCAACGTTTATTACTTTGCTACCTGCGCCCGAACAAAAATATGGGAGTTCAGAATAACAATACAATCGGTTACTATTAAATAGGCGGGAAGACACAAGAAATGATGTGCGGCGGGTTGCTGGGTTGTATTTTGGACAGAATTGGGGTTTGATAAAGTTCACTAGAGTACATTGGAACCGAAACAACTAAACCGGGACCGGATTCTACTACGTAAGATCTACACCGGTGTTTTTGCCACGGTGGCTGATCACTACAATGGCTAGACAGACTACAGAACTCGCGAAGAGAGAGAGAGAGTAGCACGCACGCCACGCGACGCAATCGAACACACCGCAACGCGCCGCGCACGCGCGCGGCTGTTATGGAAGGTCGCGGACGCGCGACTATTGGAACATTGCAACACACACTCACGCACACGCGCATACACGCCGTTTTACAACATATATACAAGGAATGGGCTAGAACAAAAAAGCTCTGCCGACACACACGCACACGTGGTACTCGTTTACATCAACAGTGCGCAGGGAGGGGATAAAGATGACAACGACGACGGATGTGGATAACAAGAAATTCACTCGATGTAGTGGCGCGCGTGTGCCCGACAAAGAGCGGCTCAACAATTGTCACATAGAAAAACGAGGAATAACGATAAATTGCGAGCGCCAGAGCGACGGTACTAAAAAAAGGTGGGAAAGAGTTTCCCCCATCAGTCAGTTTTTCAGTGGACGTGGGCGGATTGGTGGTGGACCGATGGAGAAGTCGGCGGCAACAAGGCGTTCCACTTGCGATTTCTGCACCACGTCTTCCGGTCCAAGTGTCCAGATCAGCGAACACCAGTTCACCGCTCGTGCACGACATGCTGCTCGTCGAACGGCGATCAGCGCCTGCGTTAGACTGGCAGTCTCTGAAAATAGGTGATGGTGAATAGCTGGAATGATTGGGGCGATTCTGCTATCTCTGAACAAGGGCGGGTTCCACTTCTATCGAGTTCTATGATGCACAATCAGGCCACAGCTGAGCCCCAGACGACAAAGGCAGTATGTCTCGGGCGTCTACACCCCGACTGCGACACGGTCCAAAGTGTCCGACAGGCATTTTTTTTTCCAGAGCGAATCTTCGCAAGGGTTCCTATCCACAGTAACATTCCCTTACCTTTCTCCTCATCATATCTGACGGTTTCGCCACGAAGCTGTTGCAATATGGCAGTGCGTTCGTGATGTCGGCAGTGTTGCAGAACGGTCACAGCTTCGAGGAGCTCTGAAATGATAAGCGCTTAGTGTAAGAAATCGGATAACATGAATTGACAGTGCTTAGAGCATAAATTAGAATTTAGGTCCTTAACAGGATATCTACTGGCGGAAGGTATAAACACAAACGGCGTTAGAGACACCCCCCACCCCCCTCCTCTCACCCGCACAACCTCCCCCTCCCTCCCCACCTCGCCCTCCTCCCTCCTTAGCCCCTCCGCTTTGATGCATATGTACGGTTTAGGGAATTTGCTTAGTAAGCCTATCCTCTACAAAAACCACCACTTTCATCTAAATGAAGCGCCCGTTACAGTATTTCTTTTTTCCCTCACTACTATTAGAAGCGGCGTCGCAGCCGCACGCACGCCTTCCGATTATTCGCACCGCAGCGACGAAAAAATTTCAAACGGGAGCATAACTGTTGGAGTAGTTTGAGATGGCAGCCTTTTGAGAAAAATCAAATTACCCCTTTCCTGGGACATCTCTACTGTGGGTGAGGCTCCCTACGTCACTAATTTTTTGGTAGCTGATCCTTTGTGTAGCAGAAAAGCCCCGAATATGTGAACACCGCAGAATTAAAAAGTTAAATTACGATATAAGAAGGACTCCAAACAAACCTTTGAGTGCCTGGTGAACTGGGCTCGGTAGCGGAGCCGAGCGCAGCTGCTCCATTTTGGAGAGCAGTGTGGTGATTCGAGCGTGCTCCCGAAAGAAGTCAACGATCAACCTATCAACACGAGATGGAGCCGTCGGCAGACGTGGAATTGGTAGACCATTGGATGAGCTAAACAACCGGTATCGATTACTATTGATTGGATTTTTGAGTAGGTGTCAGCTCTGATCCTCGACACCGTCTGTTTGATATATTTAGCGAAGAAGTCGAAGAAAACTGCCTACCTGATCTTCTTTCCAAGATTGTGCCTAGCAAGTTCGGCTTCTGTCTGTTTACGCTCCTTCTCGAGCTGCCTATACTCCTCACAGCATTCCTCGAGACGGGCGTGCGACTCCATGACGGCGTTGTTGCGTCGCAGAATGGCGTCGTGCTGCACTTGCTGGCTGATACGCGGCAGGTAGTAGTTGACGTCGTTGTTGTTCATCTGCGAGAAGACGTCCAGGTCCACGTCCTGTTGCCGCGTGTTCCACACCTCAGATGGCATCTGCGTTGGTCGTTGAATCGGCTGCTGCTGCTGCTGCTGCTGTGTTGGCTGCTGCGGACGTGCGGTTGGTTGCGGACGATAGGAAGCCGCTTCAACTCGCTGACCAGCGGTCATGGCTGGCTCGGGTTGACACCAATCAGGTTGCTGGCTGATGTTCAATTTCAGAAGTTCATGGATGAGGTTGTATTCGGCAGCAGCAGCTGAGCCTTTGTTGATGGGTGGGGTTGGTGGCTGACGGATCGCCGGTGTTGTATTAGTGATCGTCGGACGGTCGAAACACACATCGAAATGCTTTCGATCGTGGTTGACTTGAGGGGTTGTGTATGCGGAAGGGTCGAAGAGCGGCTCGAACATCAGCGACGAGTCGTCCAACGGCCAGCCTGATGACTGCTTTGGGCTGGACTGCAGATGCGAAGAGCTTGACGAGCGGACGCTGTCGCCTTCGGAATCGTTGCAACTCTGAAGCATTCAATATTATGAACCGGCGAGTCATTTCTCTTGATGACTATAGATGCTCTTAAAGAAGTCCAGTTCCTTTGAGCAGGTTTTTTTATTCCTTTGGGGAGATTCTTTTTGAAGCTTCGACGGGAAAGTTTAAAAAAAACTTCTTGGCACTCTTCAGTTTCTGAATTCAAATGAAAAAAACTTGGAAGTATTTTTCATAGAAGTTGGTTGTCCTCTTCATTTTTTGTCGGAATGGGCCCCGGCTTACAGGAGGGTTGGAGATTGAAATGGTCCGCTCTTTGGAGTGGAAGACCACTGAAGTAAGGTTACCCTGACCAACAAGGCCTACTTTACCTACTGGACTGATTCATTGACTTCTTCATTCTTTCTAATTTCCCCAAATTTCTTTTTCCCTGGCTAAATTTTAGGAGTCTCCTCGTGAGTCACATTTGCTGCTGATCATTGGACTCAATGGAAATCAGTTCGAGTGCAACTAATGCGAAGAGTCAGGCACTGAGCGCTGAGGGTGAAGTTCATTTGGTTCTATTACACCACCATGAACAAACGACTGGCACTCACAAGCCAATTCCCTGGGTCTTGCAATGGTTGAAAAGTAGGCTATTTTAAGAATGGCGCTCAGAGTGAAGAAATGTTGGCGTATGTTTCGACTAAAATCTAGTCAGGTTCACGGCAGAAGAACACCTGTATAGGATGACCATTGTAAGAACGGCCCTCTGGGAAGTTCATCCTCTATAGAGAGCCTAACACGTATGTCCAGTAAACCACGATACAGCTTGTTCGTATTCAGCCATGCACGCTACAAAAGTTTAAAATCTTCCTGGTCACTAGCGAAAAGGTCGCGCAAAAGACAAGGAAGTGAACCCAAGCAAACTTCCCCAGTTCGCCCTCCTGTTAACAGTCATTATCGATAAATCGCCATCCTGAGCGAATTTTATACGTCCTTTACTCAATGTCTTGGGCTCTTCCCTCAGGAGTTGATGGCAAGCGATCGTATGGGAATCAAAAAAACATTTTTTCATTGGTTATTGCTACGGGTATCTCCCTAAGAAAACTCAAGCAAAAGCATGTAGTCAATGTCCCAAACGAAATTTCTTGAGACCTAGGCCTCAGACGTGGATCAATAAGCCATTGGAAAAAACTTTTGAAAGAGGTTTTAATGGCTGTCAGCAAGTGACTGATCCTAAATGACACGGAGGTGACCCCAGAACTTGGCCAAAATTCCCGGACCCTTCAAATCGCCCAATTCACCTCAAATGTCATAAAGAACAAATAACCGACTCGTTAGCAAGGAGTTCCCGACAACCTACTTCTTAGAACTGTTTCAAGAGAGCTGATATGGGTAGGAACAAAAGAATTGGTAATCTCCTATGTCTGCCCCGCCCCCGAATGTACCTGTTGACTTAGCAATAGAGGCTTCGATCTAGTACTATAAGATACGATGAAAGCAGACCGAACTATGTAATAAGAGTCGAAAGAAGAGCAGGTGTCCATGGGTGTTAGTGAAATCAACACCTGAGGGACTGACCATACCCCTGGCTATTTTCGTTCTACGTAAATCGCTAGGAATCAGCACAGCCCGCGACTCGGTTTTTATTTTCTATTTACTTGACTGGTTCTTTTTCTGATTATTAATGAGCAACATAACCACCACGCACTCATTTTTGAGCCGAAGTTACTTCAACGACAGCCTCTAACACCTCAAGGACTGCCCTTAGCGTGTGCAGACGAAAAAATGACCATGGATTCTGAAGTACAGTGGCTGAGGTGGTATAGTGGCAAGTTTCGCATTATGTGGATACTCGAACAAGCCTATCGAGCCCTTTACCAAAAGCATCCACTCAGACATCGGCTGATTACCTTAGCCATTGTATAAGCCACATACGCATTCAAATCGCCATTACGATTGTGAGTGGAGGAAGAATGCGCGGCGTATTCCAAGGACGGGGTTGATTAACGCCCAGAGACTTTGTACTTTATCTTTTACTTCAAGTACACAGATAATAAAGGTGTATAGCTTTAATCAGCCTCGAATTAAGGGGATTCGTTCTAATTAGGGATGTACCCTTCCCTGAAATAGCCTACTGGGAACAAGCAAGACTTAAATATGGGCACCCACAGGTCCCAAGCAAAGGAAGAATTATCACAACTTTTGGCACTTTGCCTTTGCCAAATCCCGGTACCACTTTGGCCTTTCTTTTGGGGGGGGGGGAGGCGTCCAGCATTCTGGCAGTCTTGAGCAGCTGTATACACTACAAACATCACTTTTTATCGTTCCATGATGAACACTCTTGAATGGAACCCCACCCAGATAAAATCAAAAACGAAACTTCCCACTTGTACTGGGGACGATTCGAATAGCTAACCATTTGAATAACAATTTACATCTGGAAGTACTTACTAAGTAAACGTTTTGAAAAGTCAAAACATATTGGAATCTCCAACTTTTTCCCACTTCCCAATCCCAGATGAGAGAGAATAAGCGTTCTGAAGGCTCAGGCATCTCTTTGGCATGCGCCATGCGTTTGGCTTCCATCAAAAACCTAGATGACAACCAATTTATTCCTACCCACCTGGTCACTGAGGTAAGCCAATCCGCATGCAACCTTCATTTTCTGAATCATTTAGTCGATTATGGAGGGGTTGAATGGGCTTGGCCCTAATTTTAATGGGCCTTTATGGTGTTGGCCCTAATTTTAATGGATCCGAATGTAATTCAATCTATATGAAAACGTTTTTCAGTGAATCCGCCATCATTTAGCGGTCGTCATAGTGGTGCTAAAACGGCCGACGGAATGTTCATTAATCAGGTCATGACGGTTATTACATCCATCAAGGATTGTGGGGAAAAAATGCGCCTCTTCTTAGAAACACCGCTGTTCTAAAAAGGAATGCCTAGGGTTTACGGGTCAGTACGGATCAGAAGCACTTCAGATGTCCGGGTCAGACGATGACATCAGTCTACTCGACCTGCTCAAAGCTCCTTACCGTACCCATCAGAGGGCGAGCTCATAGTAGTATAAGATCGTCGAAGTGTTCCATCATGTAGTTGTAATGCTACACATCGCGTAAGCGAACATCGAAAAAACTCGAGGAAATCAGCATAGCCGCCAGAACATGGGACGAGAATAGTACAATATGTGAAATCGCTGGGAATATTGTCTGGACCTTAGGCTACAGTATTAACAGTAGTATACAATACGGATTTTTAGTGTACGGTACACCTTTTTTTGTAATTAGACATAATTAGTTAGGAGTTTTGAGGATAAAATGAGCATTCCGTCTATTCATGATTGTGGACGATTGCTTTCGTACTCAAGGCCAGGTTGGTCCCAATACGAGTGGTACCACAATGCTTAGTGACAGCCGACAGTGACTTCAAGTGGGCATAGCAGATGCGGTGGTTGTGACAGGTAGGCCTACCTACAGAAATCGCCCAAGTTTGGGTTTGTCTCATGTTTTTAAAAGATTCAAGGTGAACTGCAGCAGAGCCCCTGGGGCACTACGCCGCGTATTCATGTAGAAGGGAGAAGTGTGGGGAGAGAGGGGAGAATGACTCCTTCTTGGAAAGGCAAGTCTTTCATTTCTCGAAGTTAGCTAAAGGTGGCGAACTCATACAGAAAAGCAGAATCTGCATCGAATGAGGTTGAAGCTAGAAACACAACGAACTCAGATGCCACCACACCAACCCTCCAGCGAAATTCCCAGCCTCTCCACCTGCCCCTAGATGTACAGCCGTTTTTTCTACGAATTTCCGCCGATTTCTTGCACTCTGCTAGTAAAGGAGAGTCAAGGACGCGTATCCAGGTTCATCAGTGCGACTGAATTCCCAAAATAAAAAAATCTTGGGAAGAGGACATCAGTCATTACGGGCATTCAGTGTAAACTTTTAAGGCTGTCCTAAATCGCGGCGCTTCTTTTAAAGGGCTCCACAAAAAATCCCAAGGTAGGGAAGTAACGATCCAGCATTTTCATTTTTAGCATTCACTCGAAGGAAATGAGTTCTGTTTTGGGCACTGGACTGGAAGTTCTCAACCAACGCCTTTGCACTATCAGGTTCTCTTACAAAACGTGGTGATTTTTGAAAGCATGGCGCATGGCAAAAAGGCTAGCGGCCGTCAAATCGGTCATAGGCCGATAGCGGCGGGCCCTGCAAAGTGAAGTTCAAAAAAGTTCAAATTTTTTGCTTGGTGCCAGCTGAGCACCAATGACCCCGCGAGTGAGTGGGCGCAACCCGGCACCTCATCCACCACCAGGCAGCACATCAATCAAAGATCGAGGGCCTTATCGGAAAACCCTCGAAGAAGAGGACGTAATCGAGCGCACCAAAAAAATCGCCCAGCCGAATCGAATGGGTTGTAAAAAAAACTTCGAGCGAAGCTTTTTTGTTTGGGCGTTCTGGAAACAATAGGAATCGCGCGAATACACGTAGAATACGCCTCGACTGCGACCATTGACAAGCATGGCGAGCACATTAGAAAGCCCCCCCCCTAACTACCCATTCCCCCTCCCCCCC